CCTCCCCCAGCCGAAGCAGTGCTGCTGGGGCTTGCTCCCTGCTCTGCTGCTCCATGCCTGGTGGGGCAAAGGCTTCTCCGGCTCCGGCCGCTTCTCGCAATTGAGGATGACGCTTGCTGTTTCCCCCATTTTTAACAAAATTTGCAAGCCCCCGAAGGGAAGGGTCCGACCATCCTCCCACCAACATGAGCCTCGTGGCGGCTCCAAGAGGATGGCCAAGGCTGCTCTGCAGACTGCTCTGTCCAACTGGGCACTCATCACCCTCACTGCCACTGCCCCCCTGGAGCAGCAAATAAATTAAAGCGCAGGGCAGGGATGGGCAGGAGAGCAGGAGGAGGTAATAAATAAGAAGGCGAGAGGACTGTTGGAAAGGAAGGACCTTCAGGGGCCAGGTGGTGGCCCCACGATGAGCCAGGGGCTGGTGGGGATGCAGGGATGACAGGTCCCCATCCCGTTGTCAGTTGTTCCCCCCTGTCAAGTGCCAGCACTGAGATCTCCCTTGAAGGGATCTTGGCTCAGGCATCCTTTCTGAAGCCTCTTGCAGCTTTCCAGGCTCAGCAGCAGGCAAGAGGTGCCGTTGGCCAGGCACTCACGCAGAGCTCAGGTGAGGTAGGAGGATGCGAGCCGCGTGGGAGATGACCTGCACGTATTTGCGAAGCACCTGGCAGCCCTGCTGCTTCTTCTTGAAGGCACGCTTACCCTTACTGTTCGGCCCATATCTCACATCCACCTGGAAGATGTTGTAGTTTTTGCAGAGCAGGCAGGTGAGGTTGGAGATGAGGCCCTGTGTGGTCTTGGTGGTGTTGTGGAGGCGGTCAAGAAGCTCCTTGGCCGTGGGGTTGAGCTCCTCCTGGTCCCGCGTGATGTTCCCCAACGAGGCGTTGAGGAAGGCAAAGAGCTTGTACATGGCCACCATGACCTCCTTCTCGCTCGTCCGGTTCTCATGGAAGTCAGGGAAGAAGAAACCGTTGGGGCTGCAGAGCTTGTCGGTCTCGCTGCTGAAAGGCTCTCCCTGGCACTTCAGCTGGAGGGACAGGCGAGTGTCACCGAGGTCCTGGCCGCCCGCCCTGTCCCCATCCCCCATGGCAGCTCCTGCCCCCGATGCTGCCCCAGCTTGGGCACCCTCCTTCTGATCAGGTCTTGCAGGGGGCTTGTGCTGCTGCTCAGCAGCTTCAGCCTCGGCGTCCCCGGGATGTCCCTGGCACATCCCTCGCTCCAGGACCCACCACTGCCTTCTTTAACGGCTTTTCCCTCCACGTTCCCACAGCAGTCCCGCTTGCAGCCTGCTCCAGGTGCCGAAGCGGCGAGAGGCACTTACATAGAGGCTGAAGAGGTCCTGGGCCGTGGCGTTGAGCAGCGCGACCTGCTTGCGGGTCTGCTCGTAGACGTTGGAGCGGCACAAGCTGTTGATGGGGCAGCCGGCGCCAGGGCCGTTCACCAGCCAAGCCCCCCCAGCCACCAGCCTCCGTTGCAGCAGGAGCAGGGCCACGAAGGGGAAGACACCTGGGCACAGGGACAGAGAAAGAGTGGGGGGTCAGCGGATCCCCAGCACGGCGCCCGCGCTGGTGACAGGCGCCACGGGCCACCCGGCTCCTGGCCGGCCCAGGGCACCTCGGACGTGGGGCTGCCAGGCTGGGCTTCGCCTGGAGCCTCTGCTCTCCGCTTCGCTCTTCCTCTTTTCCCGGGGAAAGTGCTCCCAGCTGCCTGGCGCTCCCATGCCTGCTCCCAGACCGCCAGCTCCGCTCAGCACAACTTCCTCACCTGCCGGAGGGCTGGCCCCGCTCCCGGCAGGAATTTCCCTGCCCTCCTTCCCTGTGGGGCGCCTGCTGGCATTCCCACATTGCGCAAGGCCTCGGTGATGGCCTGTCAGATTTAATCGAATATGCAAAGCGATTTCCTCCCCGTTATCCTCGAACGGGCGCTGCAGGAGTGGGGCCCCACCCCGACTGTGGCACCCGCTGACTCAGCCAGGTGCCAGCCAGGAAACCTGCGCCGGGGCTTTTGCATTAGTCCCCTGCGGGGCGCAGGGGCCTGGGGACGGCCGTGCCTCTCTTTCCCCATCTGCAAACACAG